TGATGAGATGAGATGACTGTGTTATTCTCAACTCTACTTCAAAAATTCCAATACGCACTCGAGCGCGACAACTCCAACTTTCGAGTATTTAAATCCAACTTGGGAGTACTAACAAGAAAAATAAAAATAAAATAAAATAAAATAATTTGGGCTTAATTAAAAAATATATATAAAAAGTATAAAAATAAAAATCCTACTTGGGCTCTTTGCTCTGTTTTAAGTTTTCAAAATCGTGTTTTTGCCTTGTTAAATATTGATATAAATAAATGATTCTTTAAATATTATTTATTAAAAAAAAAGACCAATATATCTTAATTAGTATATGTATCATTAAAGAGTCTTTTTTTAGTAAAACAAGTGGGATGAGAAAATTTGAACTCATATTTTTAGTAGAACTCCAAATCTTTTTCTCAATTTTTTTTTTTTAATCACAGTTAAAGAATTCGTAGAAGCATAACAAAAACATGGTGGTCATTATGATTCCTCGACATTGTAAAGTTATCCATAGTTTTATATTCTTTTTATTAGGTATGGCCTATGGGACGGCGGTTTGATTCCATAACCTACCCCACAACCGATTTGGGCTATTATTGATAAAATATGGGCTCAACCCATTTATGCAATATGGACTTTCAGAAGAAAACTGAAGCCCAGCCCATCGACTCTGCTATTTCTATCTCAGCAATTAATCGTATTTGATTGAGTTGATTTCATTAGACCCAATGCTACACTACAAATACAAACACAGTATGCTGCACTGCAATATTTGACTTTGGGCCAATTAATGAATTTGATGCATTTATGAATTATTTGGATTATTAGAGGCATCCTGATTAAAGAATTCGACAGTCAACTAACTACATTGTTTTGGTCTGTTGCTGTCTTTCTCCTCAAATTCTCTTCATTCTATTTCGCATTCAATAACTGAATGTCCAAATATAAATATTCACTTTATTTATCTGTCTTCTTTCTTACTTTGTCTTTTGTATTTTATTTTATTATTATTTTTTTTAGCTTAACTTGCCTGCTTTTTGGTGGGACAAATAGTTTAGGTGGGACAAATAATTCCCATGTCACCCAATCATTTCAGAAATGCACAAAACACTCCACCAATTATGTTATAGTAATCCAATAATAATATGTGTTAGCTGTAATCCACTCACCACTTTATGTACAATTACAAGTACGCTTCTCATAAATTGGTTTGTTTCTGTTGAAACTATTATTTATAAGAATCCAAGTGGTGGCCGTGGGTGCCCTTTGTTATTTATTCAACAAATATATTATATATAGCAATTTGTGCCATTTGATTGTTTTCGATAAGTGGATGGATTACTTGTTTTTTCAAATATGACCAATCAAATCAGGCCTCAAGTTTTTGTTGAACCCTCCTTTGCAACCTTATTTATTATTATTATTTTTTTTACGTGAGTTGTTTTCATGATTGCTCCTTAGTTTTTCATTTTTATTTTTTTCCAAGGACCCCACGCAAGAAATCAAGATATTCGATTTTTTTTTTTTTTTTAAAGATATGTGTGCTATAATTGCATGCATTCTCCATCCCTCATCTTGAGTTTGAACGTATTCTACGGTATAATAAATATACGATCAGTTCCAGTAATTTTAAAAGTAAATAAATTTATGGAACGACGAGAAGTTGGAAGCCTTTAAAAATTGGTTTGGGTTATGAGTAATGAATAAAGAGAAAGGTTTATTTGTGACAGTCTGTTGCAAAATGGAAATATAGAAGTAAACTGAAAGTGAAGGAAAAAGTGAAAAAGAAAGAAAATGTATGGATTTGGAATTAAAATTGGAATGTTGGGGGTGGGGGCAATTTTCGTAAATTGTGATAATTGAGGAAAATGATGGAGGGTAATGGTACGATTCTGTTGGAAACCTAAAACTCAAAGTGGCATATAGCTGGCAAGTGGCAACCCATTTCCATTTCCTCACAAACCCCAAAACGACGCGCTTAGGTTACCTAAAAAGCTTTAAATTAAATTAAAAAGGCTTCTTCCCCTTTCGTGCCACCTCATCTTCAAAAATCAATTACTACGCAGTCAGATCTGACGTGTGTTGTGTGATGCAAATCTAGCCGCACACTCCCCCCGGATCAATGATCATCCCTCCAAAATCTACAGCCTCTATTCACTCACTCCCATTATTTACTCTGGATTTTTGATCTTCTCCAAAGCAAGCATGAGTGAAGCTATTTGGAACGAGGTAAGTGTGCAAAAGAAACATATACTTTAACGTCAAGTCAATAAAAGACTGATCTAAGATCTTAATACAATAAACTTAGATTCGATTCCTTTGACTGAACTATTGAATCATCTTTTGTCGAACTACATAGGTCGTTCACTCAATGTTTCAAAAATAGTATAAAAAAATATAGATCTTTCCTAGTCATCGATGCGACGTGTTAGATGTTGTGGTCCAACACCCATAAAACCACCTCGTTTGATCTTTGTGTTGTGGGCCCCTCTCTTCCCCCATTGGCATTGGTATTTCAAAATTCCAGCTTACTTCCGCTCCCCAAGCTCGCCCATTTATTCATCCAAATTTGTATTCCTCAACTTCATCAATTAATTAATACTTGAATCTTGGGTCATGATTATCCCCTTCCCGACATTCAAACATTCTCCCTAATCTCCATAGTAATAAGGTTTGAGGAGCTTGAGAGTTTCAATTCCAAATGGGTGTGCTGCTGCTAAATGTTAATTAATTGTTGGGTGATCCGAGGATGTGTGTGCGAGTGCAGTTATATTGTTTTCCCATGTGCTTTTTGATTGATGCATTGATTTGATAAGAAAGAGGAATAAGATTAAGGGCGTTGACGTAAATTCTCAATAGAAAAGAAAAGGGTTGGGCTGGGCTGGGCTGGGCTGGGGCTCGTGTAAACACTACCAAAAGCCCATTTGTCCAAAACCATTGGCTGTAGCAGTCAGTTTTATGGCAACCAGCATGTAATGGATTCGGGATGGGGTATGGAGGTCACGTGAGGAGCAGTTGCGAGGGGGACGATGTCACGTGAGGAGGTTCAAGGATAAAAAACGTGCGTACGGCCAAAGGACATGGTTGGTTACATGTTTGCACGTGCCACTTCACATTGGCCTTTTATGTCCAACTACCCCCTCCCCCTCCCTCTCCCTGTTTTCCTTTTTTCTATTTTCCTCATTTCTAGATTTCCCCCCCCCATTATCTCTTCTCTTTAGACTGCACAAAATTTTAATTCCTCATATGCTTAATGTATTATTTAAAAAATAAAAAGTCCATATATATATATATATTTAACAAAATTTTCTATCTTATAGAAAATGAAATAAATTTAATTTTGATCTAATATTTCTTTTGGGATGGGTGGAGCCAAAATCAATAATGGGAGTAGAGAAGAATGAGGAGAAAAAGGTCGGACTATTATAGGGCCTTTTGGTTGCGAGAGCAACACTGCGGTGTTGTTGCAAATTGAAAGAAAAAAAAAATAAAGGTGCGCGTGATTATTTCTTTAATACTCCAGGTCGTAGTATTGAGACGCTAAGAGAAGCGCCTCAACGCTACCTCAAATTAAAAAAGAATATTTTTCTCTTCACTTAAGTTTGGCCGAACTCAAAGAGGTTGTTATCGTATATTATTTGTGTGGTTGCACAAATGTTAAAGGAGTAGCGACAACATATTAGCAGAGAGATAGAAACGAGAACTTGGAGTTGTAGTGCGACGTCGACAACCAATTCTCGTGAGTATTTTGGTGAAGTTTTTCATTACTGTATGCCTAGATTTCTATTGGTGTAGCACCTAGAAGCTAGGTGGTCTGTAGAGGGTGATTATTGCGTATACAAATTTTTTTTAATTAAATTACAAGTTTAGTTCATAAATTTTAAAGATGATATCCAATAGGCCTTTGAACTTTAAAATGTGTAAGATGTTTTTGATATTGTATCTAATAAATTCTTTAACTTATTGAATATTTTAAAAATTTAAATGAATATGTTAGGCATAAAATTGAAAAACTGTATTCCTATTAGGCCCTAAATTTAATTTTGGGTCAATAACTTTGTGGATTAAAAAAACATTGATTATCTCAGGAACTATTTGACTCAAAATTGAAGTTGAAAGATGTACTAAACATACTTCTAAAATTCAAGATCTATAAATACCTTTTTAATATTCATGAACGTGTCGTACATAAGATTGAAAATCTCAACCAACCTCGTGTTCTAGCCGCTTGACCTTACAACATTTGGTATTGGTGAACATATAAATAATTAATTCATAAAATAAGTGAACATCACGAAGTTTGAACTCATTTCCTCCCACTTTATCTAGTTTACGTAGAAACATATTTGAGATAGTAAGGTAACATACTAATTATTTTTTAGTAAAAAAGAAACTAATTTGGCATTATTATTATGTAATTAAGATGCATTGAATTAATTTAGTTGGGATTCAAACTGATGAGTTATTTTAGAGACATGTGTCAATTATAGCTAAACTTATGTTGATGGTTAAAAAAGAAATTGAGAAATAAAGAGATTAAAGAAAAATTATTTTAAAAAGCTCATGTATTTGTTAAATTATTGCTTTAATAACATATATAGACATACTAGAATGCTACTTCACACATAAAACTTAACTTGTTTATTAGTAGATTTTGACTTCGTATCTATAAAATCTATTTTTCCAAGTCTATTAATAAAATAATAATGTCAAATATTTATATATATGAAATGATTTAACTGCAACGAAAATTTTGAGAAGTTAAGACTAAAGACTATTGAAAATCTCCTAAAATATTAGGTACCATTTAATACGTTTAAGGGGAAAAAAATCATAACTTAAATATCTCTAAATTTGAGCCGACTAAAGTAATGAATAAATGAATACCTTGTAAATACCGGGGGAAAAAAACCAGTGAATACCGTCCACGAAAGGTGACAGATCCTGTCCGGAAATTGATTACATATGCTAATAAAGTAGTGGTGTTCATTTTTATAAAAAAAAAAAAAAAAAAAGTTTTGGTTCATTTATGTGCACTCATTCTAAAACTTATGAATACTTCATTAAACTTTGGACATAAAGAAGAAGTATGCATTGGATGAGATCCTAATTTCGAAGAATATCTCAAAATAGAAACTATGGTGAAATCAAATGTGAAGGAGCGTGAGGGGCACGTGTCGGTGGGCGTTAAGGTTAAGGCAGCGGTTTACAGGCTGGACTGACATGATTGCAGTAGCGTTCCTTCCCGGATTCTGCTACTCAAAGTTTTTTTTGTCGTTTTGTCAACCAGCTCACCACTTCCGTGCGTCCTTTTCGGATGTTAAAATATCCCTACTTTTCCTTTTTTCTTTCTTTTAGGTTCGGTTTGGTAAATGCTGTACAGGCTGGCTGAGTCAAAGTCGTCCGCTCCCATCCAACTCCCAACCCTATGCTTCCTTCGACTCTTTTTCTTTTTTAATTCTCCCAATTTCTCATCTTCATCTTCAATCTTCATCTTCGTCTTCATCTTCTCCACGCCAACTGATT